TGGGGGTGTACCCTGCAATGGTGCACCTTCCCTGTGACTCTTCCCCCAACTGACTCTCTCTCTCTCTCTCTCTCTCTCTCTCTCTCTCTCTCTTTCTCTCTCTCTCTCTCTCTCCCTCTCTCTCTCTCTCTATCTCTCCTTTCCAAGCCTGCTGAGCTGTACAGTTTTCCTCTGGTGGGTCCTTCCCCCATGATGTACTTCCTCACCTTGGGCGCAGAACAGTGGTGTTGGCCATCTCTGAACCGTGAGCCCCAAATAAATTTTTCTTCCTCTAAATTATTGTTGTTTGGTGTGAAACAATATATTAAAGATAATATGTTAAAGAAAGATATCAATGATATAAGCTATGAGAGTGAGGAATTAGGATTATTTTGTTATAATAAAGTACATTATATCTGGAACAATATAGTGTTATTTGAAACAACTTGTATTATTTCTAAATTTAATATGGAAAACTGTAAGTAGGCTATAGGACCAAGGGCCTCTGTTCCTTGCTGATTATTGACCAGAGGCTGGATTCAGTTCTTTGACTTGTAGACATTTCCCACATGGCATAAAGCCTCATCAAAGCCATCAGAGGGGAGAGTTTATAGCAAGAGAATCTCAATCTTATGTACCATAACCACCCAAGTGATATTCCTTACCCTTTAAATAGCCTATTATTTTAAAATCCATCTCCAGTTTCACCACACTCTTGGGAAGGAGACAGAATACACAGTGTGCATACCAAAAGGTGGGCATCATTGGGTGACGTCTTGTTATTTGGGCTATATTTTTACTTTTTGATACTGTATTTGGAATCATAAGAGTTTTAAGTTCTGATCAAATAAATTTCAGTTTATCTATTTCCCTCGTTAGTTGTTTGGTTGGTGTCACAAAACATTTATTTAACATAAGGTCATGGAAATTCATTTCTATGTTCTCTTCTACAGGTTTTGTGGTTTAAGTCTTATATTTGGGTCAGCATTAACTATTATCTGCATCTTGATCCTTGTCTCATAAAAATTGTTATAGAGTATGTTTCTTTCTTAACCCATTAATTTATGTGGTAATTTTTTGTACAACAATGTATAGGTAATGTATCTAAAAACTAAATGCAACACAGTATCTTGGATTAGATCCTAGAACCTAAAAATTACATTAGCAGAACGCCAGATAAAATACTGTTATGGTGTGAATTTGAAATGTTCTCCAAATGCTCAGTGAGTTGAAGAACTGGCTCCCAATGTAGCAATGATCAGAGGTGGGGATTTTAGGAAGCAATAGGATAATGAGAGATACGTCTTCATCCATGGATTAATGACATTATTGTGAGATTATGGAAACTGTAGAAGGTGGGGCATAGGTAGAGGAAGTAGGTCACTGGGTTCATGACCTACAAGGGTATTTCTTGTCCACAGGCTCTTTCAATCTCTGCTTTCCAGCCACCATGAAGTGACCAGTTCTGGTCTCCCATGCCCTTTCTGCTATGATGTTTTGCCTCATCAGAGGTCCACAGCAATGGAGTCAGCCAACAATAAACTGAAACCTATAAACCATGAGCAAAATAAATCATTTCTCCTAGGTATTTTGTCACAGTAACTAAAACCTGATTAGCACGCATATGAAAAAAATATTTTCAATAGTTTTGTAACCATTATTGATTTCTCATTTATTATAAAGATTCTATGGAAGCTGTTAATATTACAAGAAGATGAAAGAAACTCCATCCTATTTTTATAACATTATCTAAATCTAAAATTATTACAAAATTGAAAACCTAAGTAATAATTTAGTAACAAAAAGACCCTTTAAAACTCAGTCCTACAACATCAACTATAAAAACAAAACCCCTTGCACTCTAGAACAGAATTAATGTGTAGAGAGAGAATAACAAGGCCCCTTCCCTTATGATCCACTGTTCCAAACACAAGAGTGCCTGCTTAAGGAGGACTCCATCAAGGTCCAGGAATTGCCCCTTTTCCTATCCCTCATCATACTCCTCATTACTTAGTTGCCACATTAAGTGTCAGTAGCCACTTCTTAACAGCTAGGTRTCTGTCTCATCGAATTTTCAAACATTTGTATACATATCAGTTTGTGTGCATGATCCCTTCAATAAAGTTTTAGAAGAATCCTATTATTCAAAGAATGAGAAATTTCAATAATGGGGAACATAGTTTATATTCTTACATAGTTTATATTTTTACACTCCTTGGTACAAATTTTCCTTCAAATTTTCAGAAGACAACTTTACTCTTTGAAAAACACCTATGATAATTTAATTATTTTTATTTTGCAGATTCCATCATGAATTCTTTTGAACCATGCRTAAAGATTGGTTATAAGATATAAAATGATTGGGTTATAAGAAACTTAACATGATCAGCATATTAATCCTCTGATAGAGATTAACTAAGTGGTAACTATAGACAGATAAGGTATGGCTAGAGGAGGTGAGTGGATGGGGATGTGTCTTTGGGGGAGTGTATTTGTCCCAGTTCACCTAAGTGCTTTCTGATTCCTTGTGCCATGTTTCCAGCTGCTTTCCTCTGGCACACTCTTCTGCCTGATGTTCTGCCTCACCTCAGACCTGAAGGAATAGAGTCACTGTGTATGGACTAAGACCTCTGAAACTGTGAGCCCCAAAACAAACTCTTGCTCCTCTAAAATTGTTCTTATTAGGTCTTTTGGTTACGGTGGCAATAAAACAAAAAAAGCAAAACAAAAAACAGAGACATCTAGATACAACTTTCTTCTTAATTGACCCAGTAACCCAAATACCCTAGGTGGACTGTATATATGGATAACAGCGACAACTTCTCAGCCATAGTATGACTCCATGGAATTCACATTTGTTTCCTCTAAGCTAAACAGTGTGAAATCCCCAGGCGGAACCTTCAAGGGTAACATCCTGGGCCCCAATAAGGCTCTAACCTATTCTTCTCGCTTTCTTTTTAATCTTCACCCACTGGTTGAGTGCATGCCATTTCTAGAAGGCTCCCACTTCCCCTTTGCCTGTGAAGCATGCTACCCTGTTTTCTCTGTAATCTGAAAATACGATGTTGCTTGTTATTTAATCTGTTTCATCAAGTTGCCTCCTCAGTGTCTTACTTGATGCAAACCCCAGAAACTAAATTCTTCTTCATTAAGAGCTCTCCTAGAGAGTGGCTGTGTTGGTAGGGATGAACTGGAGGTAGCTCAGACAAGAGCCACAATTGTGTCTGTCATAATAACCAAGTTTCTTGTGAGAAGTACACTCGTTGAAAGTCACATGCTTAGACATTAGCCTGCCCATCAGAATAAGAAGTATTCTGTGAAAGACACAGTGTAAACATGAACCTCCACCAGAATTCTGGGGGAAGGACTAGCATGTATTACCACTCAAGAGCAAACTAGAAATAGCAGAAAAACCTGTATCTTAACAATTTCTGCCATTACTTTAGAAACATGAGCTATGCTTCTTGTAAACTGTGTTCCAAATTCAAGTTTAATCCATGACTTTTGTATAGATACTTTTTTCTCTTTTCCATTAATTTTTCTAGACTCCTCAGGTTCTTTTTTGGCTTGCTTTTGTTTTGTTTTGATGGTTGGTTGGTTGATTGGTTGGTTTTACAGTGCCAGGAATCCAAACTAAAGCCTTGCATATGCTGGGTATTTTCTCTACCACTGAGCTCACCCTCAACCCTCAATTCTAATAAGTCGAATGGTGATCATACAAATCACCTGATGATTAATTACTGCAGAAATAGATACATTATTGTACTTAAAATGTTTTGCTCTGTCCCATCACTACTATTGCCAATTTTGGGTGCATTAAAATTGGAATGGGATTTGATGTTTTCTCAAAACTATATGGAGTGAAACAACAACTCACATAATATAAGAGTCAGTATACTGGCTGTATTTTTACTTTGAATTTGAGGCTGAAGAAACCCTCAATTAAATAAACAGAAAATTCTGATCTTCTTATGAGTCAGGTTTCTATTCATATAGTATGTACTAATAGTATATGTTGTATACTATATACTAGATACAATATATATATATATATATATATAGGTTAGGGACAAGGTAGTTTGTTTTCCCCTCCTATGTGATCTGAATTTGGGAAGTCTGCAATGGCATGTTTCTCAGAATTATTGTAGCCACTCCAGGCTCTGTGAATTATGGGACACAATATCTTCCATGCTATCATGGGAACTGGGTGCTCAGCACTGTGTCTTCCGTGTCTCTGAAATCATATTAGTACAATTCTATGTCTACGCCTGTTATCTACTAATACTGACCACTTAAATCTAGTGTATCATCAGTAGACATTTTGAAAAAGAGCATTCCTTGTACAAATATATTTCTTCCTCACATATGTCCTGCCACTCTGCCCTTTTCTAAAGAGCTTATTGAAGAACAATTCAGAGCACATATCATGATGCTTTATAACATATGCATTGAAATGAAGAAGAAAAGGAAATTTGACAATCCTTTACCTTTTATAGTGACTCTAGTTAAAATAATATGAATAGATAGATTCTCCCATATGGGGGTATAGGAAAAGGAAAGATAGTGGAATGAATCTGACATAACTTCCCCATGTAAATATATGAATATGCCATATGATCTCACCATTGTGTACATCCTCAAGACTGAGGTCATAATTATAAGATATATTCTATGTTTGTATAATTACATCAAAATTGATTCTACTATCATGTATAACTAAAAATAACTGATAAATTTTTWAAAATGATTTAAAATTTAAATGAGGCTGTTCTTTCTCAAGGAGTAAATGTTATTTTTGAGGGGTGAAAAATGTTTGTGAATCAAAATCGCTTATAATAACAGCCCTAGAAATCTTCTATCTTGATCTCAGAAGTGAGAAATATGTTCAAAGTCGGCAGCTATCTTTCACTCCAGGTCTCCAGGCTGTAGGGAATAGTTTTTGTATTGAAACTATGAATGAATAAGGAATGGAGAATAGAATGATATGGTATAGTCTGTGATTATGGACTCTGTGGATGCCCATGGACTGCAAGGTGCAGCCCCGGGGCTGTGCAGTCTTTGTAGATATGGGTCCTGGACATAGCCCTGATGCTATCCATCAGACAGCTGTGACTATGCACAGGGAGCTGTATGGGGTGAGTGGGAAGTCCTCCCTGCTGTGGGTTTTTTGTTTATCCAGTACATGTGTAGAGTTCTTATTCACCTGTTCCCACCTCTTAAATCACTGCATGGAGGGTTGGGCATATGGATCTATGGAGGGCTGGGCACATGTTGTTATTATGTTGTTCTTTTGTTCTTTTCTAACAGAATTTCTCTATCAGTGTAAACATTCTGAATCACTCTCTGTCTTTATCTGCCAAAAATATGATGATGTCTCAGTTTTCACTCCCAGGTCTGTAAAAGTAAGAACTGGCCTACAACACGATGTTTATGAAATTTAAAAAAAATCCAGCTTACCTGAAAACATCATGATTCATATTCTGTTGCTTCTGGTATCTGTGAAGGGTAATGCAATCCATGGCATGTCCAAAGAACGCATGTGTGAGACAACACAAGAGTGCCTGCTTAAGGAGGACTCCATCAAGGCCTTTTTTATTCTGGACTGCTCTTTTATTTATTTATGAGACCCATGTCACAGTGGAGAAATGATGGCACATATCAACCTTTTCTGCATTGAAGCTGACATGATTACTTTTTCCCCTTTCTAASATTGGACATAGAGAATGACTTGGTGCCTTTGGATCACCTTGCAGTCCAGACTGTCTGCTCCATCTTTTCTTTTTTATTTTTTTATCAGTGCATTCTAATTATGCAAAATAGTGGGATTCATTATGCCACATTTATATGTGCACATAACATATTTGGATAAATGTCTTTCCCCTTTACTGTCCCTTTCCTTTCTTCCTCTCTTCACCTGATCTACTAACTCTACTAATCTGCCTTCTGTTATTATTTTTTTCTATTTTGTATATTTAATTAGTTATACATTACAGTAGAATGCATTTATGCACTTTGATACATCATACATAGATGGGGTATAAATTCTTTTCTGAGTGTACATGTTATAGAATCATATTGGTCTTGTAGTCATATATATATACAGTAATAATGTTCTACTGTCCTTCCTATCCCCACATCCCTCCTCTTCCCTCCCTTCACCTCCCTCTACATAATCTAAGGTAAAACTATTCTTCTCTAGTGTTCCTCCCCACTTATTGTGAATCAGCATCCTCATATTAGAGAAAACATTTAGCTTTTGGTTTTCTGGGATTGGCTTATTTTGCTTTGCATTGATATTCTCCAGCTCCATCTATTTACTGGAAAAAGCCATAGTTTTATTCTTCTTTAAAGCAGAGTAATATTACAGTAATATGTCACATTTTCTTTATCTATTCACCTATGAAAGGACACCTAGCTTGGTTCCATAGTTTTGCTATTGTGAATTGAGCTGCATTATTGTACTGTGCTGATATTAAGTCCTTCAGGTATAAACCAAGGAGTGGGATAGCTGGGTCAAATGGTGGTTCCATTTCAAGTTTTCTGAGGAATCTTCATACTGCTTTCCATAGTGTTTGTACTAATTTGCAGTCCCACCAGCAATGTATMTGTTATTGTAATTAGTAATTATAATTTTTGTATATATGAGTATATAAGATTCATTGTGGCATAGTTAAACATGTACACAGCAGAAATTTGTAGATTTTATTTCCCAGTCCTTTCCCATTCCCTCCCCTCTTTCTTTCCACTTGATCCTCTTTCTCTATTCTATTGGTCTCCCTTTTATTTTGTGAAATCTCTTTACTTTTTACTAGATTATKTCCTATAGTTTGGATAAAGAAAATGTGATATACATATACAATGGAGTTTTACTCAACCTTGAAGAAGAATGAAATTATGTCATTTGTGGGCAAATGGATGAAACTAGAGAACATACTAAGTAAAATAAGCCAGATTCAGAAAGTCAGGAATCAAATGTTTTCTTCTCCATCTTTTCAACACAGAAGGGCTGCCAAGATCCTCATCACATCACATCCTGCAAACTCTCTGGAAGCACTAAGCTGAGACAAGAGTATAGCTAAGTCATTGTTTCACAACACTTGGGCCTTAATGTCCTTCCTTGGTGCATAGTGTCTTGCAAATATGACAAATTCATCTATCTCTCCTGGCAATTCTCTTTTGTAACCTTAAAACCAATTTATGAAAAATGCACGTATTTACATCATTTAAAGAAAAATAATTAAGAYATACTTTTGTCATTTTATTTTGTTACAAAAGTTTTAAAAGTTCATGTAGATCATGTACTCCTCATTAAGAGTGTTCTTAGTTATATTCTTATTTATTTATTTATTGGTTCTATTTAGTTATATATGACAGTAGAATCCATTTTGATATCATTATGAAGCATGGACTATATCTTATTTTAGTTAGGATTCCATTCTTGTAGATGTACATGATTGTTGGATTCACTGTGATGTTTTCTTATATGTATATGAGAAAATTATATGTCCTTGGTGTATATCCAAATAATTTAAAATCGGCATATTACATTGACACAGCCACATCAGCTCTTTTCTCTTTATTTGACCTATTGTTTTTAGACACCTGCATGTTGAGATTGTAATATATTCTTAGAAACTGATCAACTTATCATTATATAATGCCTTTATTCTGGATAACATTTCTTACCTTAAACTCTGCTCTTTTTGAAATTAGTATAGGTCCTCTTGCGTTTTTATTATTTTATATTCGGTTATGTTCATTTACTTTTAATTTATATCCATCTGTTTTGGTCAGCGTTTTCACTCATGTGTCTAAAGGATCTGACCAGAACAACTATAGAGGAGGAAAAGTTTATTTGAGAACTCACAGTTTCAGAGGTAGACAGAAGGCTCCATTCCTTAGGGCTTGAAGTGAGGCTGAACATCATGGTGGAAGAGGGTGGCAGAGGGAAGAAGCTCACATGGCATCAGGAAACAGAGAGAAATACTCCACTCACCAGATACGAATATATACCCCAAAGCCATACCCCAATCCCTATATCCTCCAGCAGCACCCTACCACTTCAGTTAATCACCTCAGGGATTAACTCACTGATTAGGCTAAGACTATAACCCAATCATTTCTCCCCCAAACCTTCTTGCATTGTCTCACACATGAGCTTTTAGGGGACATTACATCTAAACCATAACACCATCTTCAATTTAAAGTGAGTTTCTTCTAGACAACATGTAGTTGGATCTTCTTAGTTGATGTAAACTGACAATCTCTCTCCTTTGATTAGTTGATTAGTACTTTTAAACCCTTGATATTCACAGTGATAATGTTTATACTTGGATTAATATCTCCCTTGCTTATTATTTTCTATTTGTTGTTCTGGTTCTTTCATTCCTYCTTTGTATTCCTCTATTTTCCAGAATTTCTTAGATTTTTTTTATTTTCAGTTTTTAAATGGATAGTATTTTATGTATTTGTTTTTCAGCTATTTTTTCTTTGTGTTGCTGAGGATCAAACCCATGCCCTCCTGCATATTAGGCAAGTTCTCTACCCCTGCGTTACAGTCCCAGTGCTGCACTAGGATGTTTGAAGTATGTATGCATTGTGGAATGGCTATATTTTTCAAGTTAAAAAATTAATCACCTCACATAGTTATTATTTTTGTGGTGAGAATACCCAACATATGTTTGAATATCTTTGAATTTGTCAAGAATACAATATACACTATACTATCATTAAATATAGTCACCTTGCTGCAAAACAGATCTCTCTTCTCTTTCACACTCCTTCATTATTTGTGTGTAGATTGATACCAGAAGTGCTCTGTCACTGAGCTATACTTCTAGAACTTTTTCTAATGGATCTTTTGTTTAATTAATTAATTAATTTATATCCAGTGCTGAGGATTGAACCCAGGGCCTCACACATGCCAGGCAAGTGCTCTACCACTAAGCCACAACCCCAGCCCAAGAACTTTTTTTTTTATTTCATTTTGACACAGGGTCAGGGTCATTGAGTTTCTAAGGGACTCACTAAGTCCTCTATGACAGGCCTCAAACTTGTGATCCTCCTGCTTCAGACTTGTGAGTTGTGAGATAACTGGTAGGCACCACCATGCTTGCCACAGTTCTCTTAACTTTAATTCTCCTATGTAATCATAATTATGCATTCTTGAGCAAATATCTCCCYCCACACATTCTCCCTAGCACCTCCAAACTCTGGTAACAACCATTCTACTCTCTACTTCAAAGAAATCAAATTTTTATTGTTGAGATCAGGCAGCCATGTCTTTTTTTAACTGGTTCTTTTTAGCTATACATAACAATGTGATTCATTTTGATATCACTGTAAAATTATGTAAATGTATAGAACTGGAAACTATCATGCTAATTGAAATAAGATAGTCCCCAAAAGTCAAAGGTCTAATGCTTTCCCTGATATGCAGAAGTTGGAAGTTAATCCAAAGTAAGAGGAGGGGTTAAAAAAAACAATTTAAGAAATATCAGTAGTCAAAGGGAAATGAATGGAAGAGAGCAGGAATGGGATGGGGAAAAACAGTGGAATGATTCTGACTTTTGTCTTTCTTGTCTGGATTATTTAACATAATGTTTTCTAGCTTCATATGTCATCACAAACAGCATAATTTCCATCTTTTTTTTAAAGAGAGAGAGAATTTTTTCAATATTTATTTTTTAGTTTTCGGCGGACACAACATCTTGTTTGTATGTGGTGCTGAGGATCAAACCCGGGCCGCACGCATGACAGGSGAGCGCGCTACAGCTTGAGCCACATCCCCAGCCCCAAATTTCCATCTTTTTAAGGCTGAATAGTACTGCCTCCACAATATTTCTGACTGCTTCAAGTAGCTATCAGTTAATCAGGTGCACATTGTTTAATTTTCATGTGTTTATAAAGTTTTACAGTTTTCCTCATTATTGAAAGCTAGTTTTATATCATTGTAATCAGGTAAGATAGTTGATAATGATCTCTCTCTTAAATTGGTAGGAATTTCTTTGTGTCCCATCATATGACTTATCTTGGAGAATATTCCATGTGTGGTTTAGAGGAATGTGTGCAGCTGTTAGATGTAGTGTTCTATAAATGTCTGTTATGTCCATTTGGTCTAGAGTATAA